CACACACACAGGCTCACACACAAACACATGTCCTTTGTATATTACATGCATGCTGGCGGCGTAAGCCCTCTCTTTCCCATGTCTCTGCAGGTTTTTTTTCACCAGCTAGACCTTTCCTGTCTCCCCCCAGGCACTCGCTCGTGTTTGTTCGGCAGTGATGCTAAGCCTAAGGGGAGGCTCAGTCACAAGCCAAGGGGCAGTCATTTCTCACCTCTTGCATGGGGCTAATGTTCTATCCTTCCCCTTGCCCACTCTTTCCACCTTTCACGACCTTTTCTCAAAGCCCCTACCCCCCCCCCCCCCACCCGTCTTACTGAATAGTCAAAAAGACTGGTCACGGTATTATGTCTGTGCTACAGCTCTACATTGAGCTGTGAACTTCATCTCATATGGCCCTGGTGATCCCTTTGCGCCCGCAAAATCAGCTGTGAAGACATTTCCGCGCCTGGACTGCGCCACAAAAGTATCTCTACACCCAGTGAATAGTAACTGCCCTTGAGAGCGCCTGGACGTCCAGTACACACCCATGCCCATGGCCTGGTATATAATGTCTAGCCTAAGGGTTCATTTTACCCATGCCAAAGGGGCCGCCTACCTCAAAGACGTCAGGACATTCTCGAGGGTTAATGGATTTCAGACCGCCTTGGACTCCACTAACCCCCCATTCTATATATAAATACGGACCCCTTGTTTATAAGTGATTCCTACCCCCCGCCCCCCTGACTGTCACATTCCACGAATGAAATGAGTCAAATGACACACTTTACAGTTTATAACTTTATACGCTTTTTCAATGGTCAAGACTTCACCTGTTTTGAAATCAAATGCTCGGTCCTTGTGTTAGTCGGGCCCTCACCGGCGACGCCAACCCTGCACCCTAAACGCGAGGGCAAAGGGGCAAACATGCCGTTAACTCTCTCCTCTCTCCACCGAGAGAGGGTACCTCCCTTCACCGAAGAGAGGTAGAAAGCTATGCATGGTTGCAGGGGTCCCCTGCATAGCCTTATTAGGAGTAGTGGTGGTAAGTAGGTAGTGAAAGAAAGATACGTTCCATGACATATGGCAGAACGCCAGTTAAATATATATATTTTTTTGAAATTTTTTCGTCTTCGCGCTCTGATTCACAGTAAGACAATATATATATATATCGTCACAAACAGAACTGCCCGGTAAACCGTAGGCAGAGAGAGAGAAGAGGACAACAAACG